GCATCGCCACTAGGGATGTTATAGAATCGTGGCTGGCGCTTATGACGTGTTTGATTGGTGTGGTCCAGCAGCGTTGCCAGATGGTCGATGATTAGAGCGGGAAAGAAACGTGTATGAGCCTATTTGGATGACTTGCCACTTTAATTTTTTTTTGATATACATGTTTGTAGCTCAGTGGAACAACGTTGCATGGGAAGTGCAGTCAGCCTACCTGACAGCATTTTATTTCTTCTGAAGGTGTTAAAAAGTCCCAATTTCTACGCCTCTGGTGTAGTCTCAGGCATGGAGATTTATGTTTGTACTGGCTTTGCTGCTAGTGCTATACGTACAAAATTTTTAAGTGAGGAACTTAATTCATTCAGAAGCCAGATTTTTTTTCTATTTCGAAATTATAACATAAATTACCCGGCATATCGATAAGGGGGTATTTTAGGACAAAAGTTTATCGGACCTTTTCGAGTCACATTTTTATAATCAAATTCAAGCGGATAACCAAATGGAAATGGTATTTGTATTTACCATTTTGGGTTGGTATTTACCAATCCGTTCAAGCGAGTGTAGTTATCAGTTTGGTTATAAGATCCGTGACGTCACGAATCAGCTGTTATATGTCATAGTTATCACCGCAAAATTGTGGTATTTACCCAACTCAAGAGTAGTTTTATATTTCTGGTTATTATTTGAAATGTGACAAATTAGAATTTTGCCGGGTATTGGATATTGTTATTGTACTTCAGCTTCATTTTTGAGAAAAATGATACAGGCTGACTTCAGTTTTACCATAAAGTGGAGCACCTTATTAGTTATACTCATTACGGTTGTTGGGGACACTTTAAATGTAGTTCCTATGCTTAACAAAGTATCCTGTGTAGTCATATACCACAAGAATATTAAAATATGGCCATATAAACTCACTAGATGATATCCACCTGTATACGGTTTTGCTAATTTCTTTTTTCATCATTTCTGCTGAATCAATAAATGTTTTCTTTGACATGCGGAAAAATTTAGAGAATTGAAAGTTATCATAGCTACAAAGCCATGGTTCCATCATTAAAAAGAAATCTGAAAGAAACATTTCTCCCATGAATATTATGAAAGGTTTCTTATTTAAACCTTCCATACACAGTTGTAGATGAAAAAGCCCCGATTATAAGTGATAATAAAAATAATCAGAGATTATATACGCGCTTTTCTAAAATAAACAAGTTGCAACAAAACCGCGGTTAAAACCAACGCGTTCAAGCGATTCGTGTAACTGACGTCATCAACCCGTGTGTCATCTTGAACCATATTATAACCGCGGCACATAACACAGAAATTTTGGTTATTCGCTTGGATTTGATTTATGAAGATCATTTCGAATTCGTATTACGCGCCAGAGCTGTCAGTTGTCATTAGCTGACAATGTATGTCATTTTATTAAGGTAAGGAAAGTCGCCATTCGACAGTTATGGCTTATGATGTTACAGCTTACCAAAACAAAAATACACAAAGTCTATGAAACTTGAGTGGCAGCCATTTATTTGTTCAATAATTCTCTACATTTATAAAGTTTGATTTCTAGAAATACTGCCACTGTTTTCTGAATCACCCTGTGATGTCCAGATATTTGAATTTTTGCACTTGAAAACGTTCTAATTTTTTTATTTGTTCATCCTGTAACAAACAACAAAGGTACTTTCCAATCTGATCGTATCCTCAACAGTCACGTTACACTGATACCCATTATCGTATAAACAGTAACAATTTAGATAATTTAAAAATGATGTCCAAACGTATACTCAATTGTCATAACATGATATTGATATTAATTAATTCAAATTACATATTTCGATGCGTCAATAAACGTTGACTCATATACTATGACTCACTACTGTGAATGGACTCCGGAAAAAACATTGAATTACATATTTTAAACAACGAAATAGTATTGCACATGTTTTGGTACTAAACCCATGCAATCGTACTTGTACATGCCAACGAGCTAGAGAAAAGAAGATAACAGCTGTTTCTCTATTTACTATATGTGTATTCTTTAAAAAGCTTAGTGTGTCACTGATGGCGCTGTCTATTAGAACATATATAACCATATAGGTGGCGCCATCTGTGAGACACTAACATTTCCAAAGTAACTGTGACAAATTCTCATAGATTAGATCATTTTGTCTCGATTAATTTTTTGGACGCGAGATTATAGCATTAGGTAAGCAATCGTCTGGTAGAATACGTTAACTAATACTCAATATAAACAGGACAGTTGACAATTCGTAATTGAACGGTGCGAAAGTGCAAGAAATGGAAAGCATTAACGTGAAAAACAGTCCTTAGTTACAAATGGCGTTCCAGCAGGTTTTTCGAGATTTTGGTTTCAAATAAAAATGACAATTTTTACTAGATTATAAGTTTTTTGCTTATTAATTTTGGTTGACTTTTGATTTTCAATGGCTTTTAATTTTTTTAAATTTCTAGGTACACGATTACCAGGTTTATAACATGTAGTAGATCTCCTTGAACAAATTAAAAAAGTACGTGTAAACGTGCAAAGACACAAGGTATTCAAGTTCATTTTTTCTAAAAATTATATGTCCAATTCCTCTTAAATTTCTTGAATGATAGATGTAAATATGTACTGCATTATTAATCTAAATAACCGGATACATATAGTAAATAACGAAATTTTGAAAATAAAAGCAATTGAACATTAAATTCCCTTGTAATTAATATGCAAGCTTTTGAATATACAGTATTTTGAACACATTTCATTAAAAATCTCAAAAATTCATTTAGTGGATAGAATGATAGGAAAATAGCGCAATGTCAAGCGTTGTAATGATATATCAATTATTTAAAATAACCGGTAATTGTATTAATTTCTTGTAAACAATTGTATATGGGGACTAAGGAAACACAGGTTCGTGTTATAAATTTGTCGACGTTACGGAAAAATTTATTTCCTCCTTCAGGGGTCTATAATAAAATTTTAAAACACTATCTTTACATATACATTAATTAAAAATTTAAATAGTAAAATCTAAGTGTCCAAGACATTATATAAAATGAGCTATTTAAACTCATCCCCGAATTTAGTTAACAATAAGATAGCAATTCCCAATACATATACACACAACAAAAATAACCGAATATAAAACGATTAGATAGATATTTAAGAACCGAAAAAAAGTTCTTTCCGTGTTCGATTATAAAAAAAGAAACTATGGCGAACTTACCCTTTTATTTCGAAATTGTTATTGTTAAAAAAATAACAATCCATCGTTAAGTACATCTTGGATAAAATTTTGACTGCATCTAATCAATATAACAAACGAAAGACATTAGGAGGTACAGCTAGACACCGATTGATCGAAAGGAGAAAGGTATTTCGAAATAGTAAAAATCCAAACTATTTTTTGTTATATTTGAAGTTTTGTCTTTTTGCTGATAAATATTATGTGTGTATATTATGTACTTATATACTTTATTACAGTCTTTGCACGGAATTCTAAATACAAGATTTGCTTGTTGTTCTGTTGGAATTTGGTCTTTAAGTTTAGTAAAAAAATTTATCCGATTGTATTTTCACACGCAATCTCAATTGTATCTGAACTTGAAACATTCACCAATTTCTCCAACATTTTTTTTACATTCGGAATTTTCAAATACAGTTTCCCGGTCTCAGCAGCATAATTAGTGGTGTGGCTATTATTTTGCTTATTGTTCTGTAATAATGTAATGACGAGAAATGAAAGCTAGTTGTTATTTCTCTAAATTTGTTTTATAAATCATACATTTTTGCGATTTTTATATAATGCCTCAACCAAAATAAGTATCTTTTATCTTCGTTTTTATCATTCAAATTGTTAATCACTGTATATGTAAAGTTAGTGTTTTAAATTTTTTGTAGAGTCCTGAAGAAGGAAATATATTTTTCCAGAGACTCCAGCAACTTTATAACAGGAAACTGTTTCTTTAGACCCCATATACAATTAATTACGAAACATTCATACAAAAAAGGTTAGTAGAAGAATAATTTAAAGTAAACTTACTTCCCGCATTTTCAAAGCGTTTGGAACGAGAAATAAAGACTCAAATAACCGAATATATTTTCAGTACTGAAATAATTCCATCAATGCAGTCAGGTTTCAGGAAAAACCATAACACAACAACGGCTCTGGCCAACATAACTGATGATATTATAAGAGTCCATCAAGAAAATGTCACTTGTTTGGTTCTGCTAGATTATACGAAAGGTTTCGATATGATAGACCCTGAAATTTTGCTACTCAAGCTGTCTTTCTATGGTTTTCCTGACGCTGCAGTGAATTTGATACGCTGTTATTTATAAAAAAAAACAAAAGGAGCTCTCAGTTTCAAAAATGTCGGAATCGACTGCTATAAAGTTCGGTATTCCCAAAGTTTCCATATTCGATCCTTTGTATATGTCAGATTTCCATTAATATGTCCATAATTGTACAATCCATCACTATGCCGATGATACTCAAATTTATTTTAGTTTTCAACATAAAGATTCTAAAATGGTACAAAAGTTCATTTGGTTACAACGCTATCAAATTATATGATATGCCTGTTAAGTTCCAAAATTACACACTATCTAATTTTTAAAAGAGACTTAAACTGAAACTGCACGCCGAGGTCTGATGATGAACACAAACTGCTCCAGCATATATGGACTGTTCTTGTAACTGTTTATATTTTTGTGTTATAATTAAATAATTGTTATTGTAATATGCACACATATTAGTTCAGTATTATATTATAATTTCGTTATTTTTTCAAAGGTTACGTTGAAAAACGCTACTCTTCGCTTTTTTTAATAGAAGACCTTAATTTTGGAATCACCCACGTAATCACAGCTATATCAATCATCGATTTTCATATTGTCTGTCTACAAAATAGATAAGCTACACCTACGACACCGTGCTGAAAAACGCACCCGATACATTGATAAAGCTCCTACAGAGGACCTCCCCACCACGCGGATGATATCATCTGAATTCCAGTCTGGTAACCAACCTCGAACCCCGAGCAAGTATCCAAGCAGCGCCAGTGTGCGGGTACGTCTTTTCGTTTGCAGAACCATTCGCGGTACCGCGCGTATCACCATGACAACGGCCGCCGCGTTAGTCAACAAAGAAGGACGCAAACCTCAATACAAAGATTACAATACCTTTCTTGAACGGTATAAAAATGGCAAAAAGGACGATCAATGTAGTGACAGTGGTGTCAGTTTTTCTTTGACTAATTCCTCCAATAATTCTTCGTCTTCGATCAACTCCGACCTAGCTGATGGGCAAAAGAAAGGCTTTAAGGATTATCTTGAAGATTATAACAACAAGAGGTACAGTCCTGTACAACCAGCGTTCACCAAGGGCAAGGATACTAAAACCGTGAGAACCGAAGTATACATAGAAATAAAGAACGATACAACAAATAATGTGAATCAAATAACAAAGGTATTTCAACTGCAACCACAAACTAAGAATGCAGTGAGCAAAACTGCGAAGATTTTCGAAAAAGAGACACCAGCGAAATCCAAGGCCAACTTCTCGTTCAACGGCAATGGAGAACAAAAGAAGATCAGCGCGATATCCAAACAGTTCGAAGAAAAACAAACGCCGTCGTCCGTTGCTAAGCAACCGTTGAAGAAGAAGCCGAGCATCAGCGAGATGACAAAGGTGTTTGAAGAAGCTACGGTAGAGGAGAATCAGAATATGCAGAAAAAGGTGTTTACTGAAGTTGCCCAGGTTTTTAAACAGAAAGAAGAGAGTATGAGGCAGAAAAACTCTGAGGTTACGTCGCCTAAGCCACAATTTTTGAATAGCAAGCCAGTTTTGAGTCAGGTAAAGCCAAAACCTGTCATCGTAAATTGTGATGGATCCCATCCTGAAAATGGAGTAGACAGGAAGCCATTATTGTTCAAACCACAAATAATGATCAACAAACCAGAGCCGCAGGACCAAAAAACAGACAGCGAACCTCTTGTACTGAACTTACCTCCACCTCCCCCACCTTTACCTCAAACCAGTCCTCCTCTATCGCCCCCACTGATCAGTGTGACACCACCTTCAACATGTTCATCTCCAGCACCTCTAGAGCCCCCAAATTGCCCTCCTCCCCCACCACCAATGCCCATGAACTTCACGTCAAGACCTTCTCTTCCATCCCAAACGAAAATCTTTGGCCAAAATGAAGATTCCAGTGAATACTTCGCTTCAAGACCTTCTTTGCCATGTCAAACAAAAGTCGCGGTCCAACCTGAGGCCAATAAGTTCAGTACCCTACCAAAGATGCAGAACGGAGATTCAGTTGATGGGAGAAAGCTGGACAAAAATGACCCACGTGTGAAGAAGATGGTGTATGGAGCGTTGAGGGAGATGTATGGGGCTTACCATGACAAAGCCAATGATTATTTGGCCACGCTGCCTAAGAGTAGGGTTAGGAGGAACAACGGTTTGGATAGCATCATCAACAGTATAGCGTAAGTAGTGTGTTCTGTGTTTACCTGTTTGGCTTTTTATTGTTTTTGAGAGCTCAGTAGTTACAATGTTTCATGGCAAAAATCGGAAACGTTGGATTTGGTGGGACTTCCGTCACTGTTATTCTGACATTCTAATAATGAGATTAAGAGAATAAACAAAGCACTATGACCATATATAACAACCGAAACTTATTCTGTGGTTTTCATGTTGATAATCCCACATATTTCTCTGGCGGTATCAAAACAACATACGATTTGAATTTCTCTTTTTTGTACTACTTTTTGGTCCCAACGGTGGTCTTCTTATAGTACAATTGATAGTTTTTTGACAATATATTTTATTTATCTGACTTCCAGGTGACACTTCGTTTGTTTTAACTTCATACACCAACTGGGATGTTATGGTTTTTGCATGTTTGTATAACCACCTATAACCTGAAAAGTATCGCTCGGATTTTGATGAAATTTTCACACAAGGATAGAAAGCTTTGTAGTTTTTTAAAAACGGTCCAATGGCGGCGGAGCTAGGGGCAAAAATACATAAAATAAAATTTGTTTATACTTCATTTTTTGATATTTCAGCGGCTCTTGATCATTTACGGAAACATTTTTGTATGAGTTGAAACTTCGGGGCTGGAGGCTGTAGGGGGTAGGAGGTTATAGATGTTACGCCTTTAGTATTATGGTTATTGTGCTGATTTCAGTGATACTATGCACCATAAATCACACATATTTTTCCTACATTTGCCATGGAAACATAAATATGATAGATTTGCTTTACTTAATTTGATATGCAAAATTCATCATACCTCAATGAACCTTCTTAATTATGATTCCATTTCGCATTTTGAAACGATTTGTCAATCGGCTTGACGCATTTTTTTTTCAAAGAATTTCGTAAGGACATTCGTATGTTTTTACGGACCCGTTCGGGAAAAATCCCTGCAGGTGCCCATGATTATTGGTAGGTTAGCTTTCAAATGTTGGTGACACCAACCATGGCCAAACTTCTTGGATTGTCGATGTAAACATAGGTTCGATTTGCCTAACATGTTAAAATTAGTTAAAATTTAGTAGATGTTTCAACAAAAATTTAAGTCAAATTATTTATAAACCATCTATACGTAGATTGCCATATTTACCCATATCTGCCATTATTTTTTTTACTTTGGAGGGCTTGCTACTGCATTAATGCAATTTTTCTCAGATTTAATTTTCGGCAATGCGTCTGTACCTACAAAATTTCCACAAATGATAAAATTGGTCAAGATGTTACTGATTTGGTTGGGTTTTTTAATATGCTAAATATAAGGTATCTTCATAGCTTATTTGTCTTTTATTCTTTACGCCGATTCTCGTCTGTAAAATGAATGAATGCACACTAAACATTTACCATCTTCATGTTAATGACCTTATAACGTGAGACTGCTATCATTTAACATGGTTGTGTAACCTTATTTTGAACTATTCTGCAATAATATAAGTATGTATACGTAATGCCAACATAACTGCAAACCGCATAAGAAATGGAATAACTTTATCACGTGCATTTGATATCCAGATGTCAACTTCATCAAAAATCATCGAAAATGCCAACGAAAATTATTGCAACAAAAAATGTTCACCAGCGAGTTTATGCTGGGAAGGTGTTGTGACACATCTAAAGGATTAACAAAGAAAATTGCTAATGAATGCTAAAAGATGTTTTGCGATTTTATAGGATGACTTCCGAACTGGTGGGTTTTAAAGATATAACAAAAACGTTATTTACCCCATGAAGAACCCGGAAACAGCGTCAACATGCTTTTCCAACGAAAGCACGTACTATTTTACATATTAAAAGTGACTGATATATTACTTACTTTAATTCAAACATTTAATGAAGTTTGACACTGCACATCGTACGTGGTGTGTTAGGAGCTTAACTAATAATCCCACCATAGTGTTATTTCTAAAATATTCATGTTTTGTCCTTATTCAGGCTTATCAGTGAGGTAGAAATTTGTAAGGCGGTAACATTTTAGGACGTAAACTTTTTGGTTATTCCTGTTATAAACTTTTTGCTTAATAAAGATTGCCATTACTTTTAAATCACCTTAATTTTTGCGATGATAAAAATGAAAAATATGGCTGCTAAGAAGACAATATCTTCTATCCTCTACCAATGGCAAATTTATTAATGAGTTCAAATGAAAACTGGCATAAATATAATCGATCAGCCAGTGAGCATGACTACTCTAACCGTACCAATAACAATAAATATCATTTAATTATCATAATCGAGTTGCTGTTTCGACGTACGCTCGAGCGCGCGTCGATAAATGGGGCAAGGCAAAACTTCCAAGCGTTACAGAAACAGGCGTCAAGCAGATTGACTATATTTACTACGCCTCCGTTGGAGGTTTAAAAAAAATATGAGTATTGATTCAAAAGGCGAAATCGAATCGTTATTAGCTAGGGTCACTATAAAACAAGTCTATCATATTAATGTTTTCATGGCAGTATCACTGGGAGCAGCAGTTTCTCAATGATAGAAGGTCTTTCACTGACACTTAATATGCAACAATTTTCAACCATTTACCGCATACAGCTTCCAACAAACAATTGTCTGAAAATGAACAGAAATCGTAGAAACGTAATACCAGCTGTTTTATTTCCGCTGAATCTGAATAAATTTTCTAAATCCACGACTACCGAAACGATCGAAGTATTAAACTTGAGATAATATTCGAACTTCGGTTCACAAGTTTTTTGTAGCTTAAAGATATCTGCATCGCAAAAGTCCGGGCTTCTCATTTTTGTCGGTTTGTTGTATAGCAACGCATCATAAGTAGTGAAACAATCTCCTTCACGAAACACTCAGAGGACCATCATAGACAGAGTAACACAGATTAAAGGATAGGCAAAATATAGTACGTTAAGAGTTATAAAATTCAGAAAAATATACGTGTAGATATACCTAAAAACAGTTAAACCATCACTTACAAAAGAACCGCAGAACGCTAAAATCGGTACGTACTCCTGATATCCGATTATTACTTAAATGGTGGCCCATAAGTCCTTTGAGCTGGAAAAAAAGGAATAAAACCAAACTAGTTACATTATGAAGAATTATTATATTTTGTTATCATCTTTATTGAATGGGAATTATGTTTTAAAAATCACATCGTCTAAATGCAATCCATTACAATCACGGCACTCATATAAACGACGTCTAAAGTTGTCGATGACTGCGCGGCAGGTCAACACTGTAATGCTTGCCATTTCTCTTCGGATATTTTCTTTCAGGACATCAACTGATCGCGGAGTGGTGTCGTACACTTTACTCTTGAGGTAGCCCCATAAAAGGAAGTCCATTGGGGTCAAATCTGGACTACGTGGTGGCCAGGAAATGTCTCCTCTTCGAGAAATTACTTTGCTGGGAAAAAGTTGACAGACGACGGGCATAGAAGTGTTGAAGGTGTGGGCAGTTGCTCCGTCCTGTTGAAACCAGGTCTGCGTATTATAGCCTGGAAAATTCTGCAACGCTGGTGTCAAAAATTCTTCTATCATTGCTACATACCGCTCCGAAGTAACAGTTAATGCGCGACCTCTGTCGTCCTCAAAAAAATAAGGGCCTACGATGCCATGCGCTGACATAGCAGCCCAAACTGTAACTTTAGGGCTATGTAAGGGCTTCTGATGCTTACGCCTTGGATTTTCGGGGCTCCAATAACGGCAATTTTGTTTATTTACATGCCCGTTTAAATGGAAGAGAGCCTCGTCCGAGAACAACACATTATTGAGCGAAGAAAATCGATTCAACATTTCATTCGCAAAGTTTAGTCTCTGAATAGCGTCATTATCTTTTAATTCCTGCACTAATTGAATTTTGTAAGCGTGCAGACGTAAATCTTTCCTTAAAATCTGCTGTAAAGATGTACTGGGTACGTTTAGTGCACTGAAACGCTTACGAGTAGACTGGGTAGGATTTTGACGAACAGACTGTGCCACAATGTTGATGTTTTCTTCAATACGAGTTGTCCTTGGTCGACCCCACCGCTGTTTATCTAACGTCGAACCAGTCTCTTTGAACTTAGCAACCCAGTTCTTAATCGTTTGAGCTGTTGGACACTTTGTATAATTGTGTAAATTGTGGTATTCTCGATATTTACGCCGCGCAATGGTTGCCGAATCATTATTTTGATAAAACGCGCGCACACAAAAAGCGCGATCCGCTCCACTGAAACACTCCATGGCGACTGAATTCCCAGACACTGAATATACTGCCCCCACCTCGCCCACGCCGCTCACGCTCACCCGTTAAATTTTATTCAAATTTGAAATTTCAAAGGACTTATGGACCACCCTGTATATAAATATTCTCCTACAGCGGTGTGTCAGTAATGACACCACCGCAGATTCACCAGTTGGAGTTTGTTACCCATTGCACAGTCTGCAGTGGCCTCCACGACGATGCAGTATCGCGCAGTGCACGCAACGCCAACGATTGCAAGTTACTTCGAATATTGAGCACACTGTACATTAGTACATTTATCATTTGATTTTCCTGATGTTACCGGAATCAGAAGCTTCTTAATAACAGAACGTATTTGACTAATGCTAACGACTTTACATTTACATGCTCCTACCCCCTACAAACCTCAAACCCCAAGTTTCAACACCTACAAAAAATGTCTCGGAAAGAATCAGGATTGTCTGTTGTACGACTTTTTCTTCGCAGCCACTGAACCGAGAGAGAAACAAAGTGGTGACAAATGACACAATGATAGACCGAACGACAGACCTAAGGCATGGGAAAAACTAAATACTGTATAACTGGACTAGGGCGTGTCAGGAAGTTATTCATGCGCTTTTGCGTGACTTTCCTCCATCAATAATAAAGGTACTTAGTTGCAAACACAATGCTTTTCAGATCTAGTTGCGATACTACTGGACAAGGTTAAAGTGTAAGAGCAATAAGTGCTATTTTAAATGGTGTTATGATGTAAATATTTTCA